CGAGTATTTACCCCATACAGCCTATAAGCATAGGTCATTAATTACGCTAACTAAAGAAACTACCAGGGTGAGAAGTAGGTACCCGTGGTCACGTGATAGAGCGTATACGCATTGTGTTCATATTTAACTTGCTACCATAGACCTGCTATAAATAAGTGCGTACAGACGCATACAGTCACAGATCGTCGCACGCACGCATATGTATGTGTGCCCGCACACCCCGCGCGCACATGCGAGCGCGCATATGCACACGAACGCACGCACATACATGAACGCACGCACATGGCCACTAATAAACGCGATGTACTCGCAGCTTCCACAGCACCTTACCTTGGGGCCTTGGGCCGCGTACGTATAGAATGTGGGGAACGTAATTGTTTCAACATTACGCAGTCGGCAGGATATACGATCAAACAACATGTTGTTAATTTATGCAAGGCTGAATTTTCTGTCTACCTATTGCGATTCAGCAAGGCCGCTGCGATGAACTGTCAGAAAACCAGAATGGCAGAATGGCAGAAACATGCACTGCAGTAATGAGTGATACATGCATATGAGTCATTGGGATACGTAATTAAAAGGCTATATCACATATGACTATACAGGCACACACACACACACACACACACACACACACACACACACACACACACACACACACACACACACACACACACACACACACACACAAACACACGAATACACGCACACATACATACAGACCATGATTTGAGCCACAACGATTCGTGACTTACGTAGTAAGCGTGTAAGGAGGGGAGCTAGGAAATTAGGAATGTGCAGCTTGTTTTATGAGGGCAATATCCGTCATCTACGTAGTCATCGCCCCTCAGCTAGGGGAGATGCCACGAATATAACTGCAAGCAATTACGTGTGGGGAATTAGTTCGAACAAATAACTGAACAGCAACGATTGCAGCAATGACTTTCGTCAGATTTATCTACGCCGCACGTAAGATGTGGTTCGATATGTGACGTGTCACGTATTGTGCAATATGGATACCATACCATCTGCATGTTACCACCACGTGACGTATGGCACAATAGCCAATTTAAAATCAGCCATCCGTCAATAGTAAACCTGCTCACTGATTTCATGCATAGAAAACTATTTAAATCGCAAGTCACTGCAGCCAATTGTTGCTTCGAATTCGGCATTCAACACATTCCTTCCTAACGTTGTTGACCTTGCTTGCCATTTCACAATTCATGCACCGAATACATTATAGACTCTGATGATTTGCAATGCTGAAAAGGTGATAGCTGTTACTGAATTGCACGATATTTGGGCAGGGAAATGCCCGATGTTCTACGATTATGGCCGCGGAGTGCTGCTTTGGTATACGTATAGCTCAGGTCTATTAGGAATGGTAAGTGTCGTGATCCGAGCCGCGCGCTATCGGCACCAAAACGCCCTCATTATCTGTCAATGCCCTCACGAGAGCGAAATATTTCGTTCAGTTTGTGGTGGTTCCCCTCGCGCCGTAAAGATGCGTACGCGGCGAAAAGCTCCCGCGGGTCGAATAATTTTCTAGGAAAAAATGCGGCAATTTTCTGCGGCGACATGCGTGACAGGGATCCCATGCCGGGCGTGGCTTTGATCTAACAAAATACACCCGCGTCCTCCTGACAAAGCCCGCCTTGTGTGCGAGGAGCCTAGACGGGCACCGGAAGTCGCCGCGATCACTGTTGACGCGACCACAGGGAGGTCTGGTGCCAGTCTCTCAAAGACCTCCGCTTTTCGGGCGTGGGGAAGGAGGAGGTGAACACAAACAGAGCGAGATGAAACCGTTTCGAAATCGGAGAAACACGCCATTGTGTTGGAGCTAATTGATAACTCTGCTGCCATTTACTCGGGAGATGCGCGAATCAGCACGCCAGTCGGAACAGTGGTTACGATTTTCATTGTGGGAAGTTGAGTGGAAGATCACGCAGATTTCTGTTGGTTTTGTCGTCGTGCGAAATTGCGTTTCATGTTTGCGGAATAGGTCAAGCACCTCGGACGTTTAGCGTAAATAAAGGTTTACACGCTCTCGTGTGTGAAATTCAGATTGATTTACACCTTTTTTCGAGTCACTCATGCACGTACTATATCTGCCAAAGTATTTATATGATAGCAATAAGCGAACCAAATATTCCACTTGGTCTACACGCTATTAAATCGAGCTAGATTATTAAAAGAAGGGTGCAATTTATTTATAGTTGGCTGTTACTACATTTACATAGACCCAAACTGGTATTTAGATTTGCTCAGGCGCTCTCTGTTTGATATTTACAGGTGATTGATCCGCGTGTGCGCGGGAAAAAGCGCCGCCTGCCAAATATCGCAAAATGTGTTCGGTACAAACTGAATAGTGCACGAGAGCACATAAATGCCAGACCGCGTCTCTTTAAGACTAGAAATTGGAGTTTCGAACGCACATTTCACAGACGAGATTATTAAAAGAAGGTGAAAGTTATTTATAGTTGGCTGTTACTTCATTTAAATCTCAAACTGGCATTTAGGTTTTCTCAGACGCTCTCGAAAAAAACGAGCACAGACCGCGTCCATTAGAAGTCTAAAAGTTTCGAACGCGCATTTCACAGACAAGAATTCCGCTGCGGAACGCATGGAAGAGTTGACGATGAGATGACCAGTGGCCGGCTAGAGCCGAGCGAGAGCGAGCTAGGCCGTCCACTGTTTAGCCTCGTATGTCCGAGCGCGCACGCACGGCAGCGCGCACACTTTACACATCCCGCTGTCCGCTTGCGACTGGCCTCTATCAGGAGCCTCTATGTATGTAAGCTATGGTCACGTTCATGTCGTGGAATTTTCGCGGAGGCTCGCCACATGTATTGATGTCGAAAGCGTGAAATTTCGCGAAAGCGAAAGTCACGCTTGCGCTTGTAGCAGCAACAGGTTTGCGCACGGCGGCAGTGCCGTGCTGTTGCGATCGCACGTATAGTATTTGAGACGGTGATCTGTCATTGGTCCGATCCGCGAGCAGTCGCTGTCTGTGTTCACGTACCACTTCTCCGCCTGTCAAAGGAAGACCGCATGTGGAGGTGCTACACGAGAGAGATATAGGTAGAGAGAGGGGGAGACAGAGAGACAGATAGAGAGAGAGAGAGAGAGAGAGAGAGAGAGAGAGAGAAAGAGAAAGAGAGAGAATGAAGGAGCGAGGGGAGAGCGAAAGAGAGGTGTTTGTAGGCAAGCTGGTATAGATAGGCGTTTTACAAGTGTTATATAACTATATATAACGACTACACTTCGAAGAAGGCCTACACGCTGCGCGAACCACGCTTGTGCTGCGCTCCACGGCTGTGCGGAGTCCACCGCGTTCTTTCGCGAGTCGAGAATTACAATAGTCTCTCTTCGCTTTGTTAGGTTTTTATTGTGAATTTATTTGCAGTGAGTGTAAGGTGCGCAGAAACATTGATTACCGCCATCGACGATCTACTTCTTTTCAGCCGGGACAATATATCGGCCTATTTATTACAGGAGGCATTATCAGCCTACCTACACGTAAGATCATCTATCATTGCTGCCTACTTTGCCATACATGGGATTCGGGACTATAAATAACGCATAACATGCTGATCTGTGCGACGTCCCTCATTTTGCCGCTTCTGAAATATAGCTCTGGCTCGTTTTCGCGTCACCGTCACAGAATGCAAGCGCGAGTTCGTGTTCAATTGAGTGGTGCTGTGACGTTCGCACGTGCTTATATTTGGAACACATTTACACACGCAGAAGAAAAAGAAGCGGATACATAATAAGTGTATATTTATATTTGCGTGGGTTTGTTTTTATTTGTATTGTAAGTTCGTATAGTTGTATTCGTGTATCTTTGTTATACTTGCACTTGTGTATGCCTGATACGCTTGTCTTTGCGTGCGTTTCTTGTGGCTATATTTATGCGCGTTTACTTTGCCTGTATTATTTTGTGCGTGTTCGCTGTGCCTGTATATATGTGTGCGAGTATGTTGTGCCTGTATGTGTGCGTATTTGTTAATTTTGTGCGTGTATGTTGTATCTGTATTAGTGCGTGTTCACTATGCCTGTATTTGTGCGTGTTTACTGTGCCTGTATCTGTGCGTGTTTTCTGTGCATGTATTTGTGCGTGTTCACTGTGGCTGTATTTGTGCGTGTTCACTATGCCTGTATCTGTGCGTGTTTACTGTGCCTGTATTTGTGCGTGTTCACTGTGCCTGTGTTTGTGCGTGTTCACTGTGCCTGTATTTGTGCGTGTTTTCTGTGCCTGTATTTGTGCGTGTTCACTGTGCCTGTATTTGTGCGTGTTTTCTGTGCCTGTATTTGTGCGTGTTTTCTGTGCCTGTATTTGTGCGTGTTCACTGCGCCTGTATTTGTGCGTATTCACTGTGCCTGTATCTGTGCGTGTATGCTGTACCTGCATTTGCTTTGTGCGCATACACACATATATTTCACACAATTAAATTCTCCTTGCAGTCGCAGCTTGAGCGCAGATCGACTAGCAATCATGATGTCATCGTCGGCGTACAACGGCAACGGCGACAGCGACAACCGCAGCATCTACAGCAGCTACTCGACGTTGACGATACCGACCGCATGCTCGGAGTACGCGCGACTGAAGCAGGAGACGTTCGCTTCCGGTATCCTCTTCGAGGATCATGACTTCCCGGCGGATGTCGCCTCGCTTTACCACCGACACAAGCCTAGTCTGGGACCGATAGTGTGGAAGCGGCCGAGGGTAAGGTCAACCCTGCCGCGCCTGGTAGCAGTGACACTGGTGTGAATGATGGAGATGATGATGACGGCGGCGGTAACGACAATGACGACGATGATGATAGTAACTACGAATATGATGGTTGCGATGGTGATGAGTATATGAGGAGGTGGAATCGGAGGACGGCGTTGATGCCGAGGAGAAACAGTTCGGGGAAAAAGGAGGGGGAAGATCAGGAAGAGGAAGAGTAGGAAAAAGAAGAGAAGGACGATGACGATACGGATTAGGAAGAGGAGGAGCTGAGGAAGAAGGGGGAAGAGGTGTAGAATGAGGATGGGAAGAGGAAGAGGAGGAGGGAAAATATTAGAAGGGAAAGGATGAGAAGGAGGTAAACAACGGCAATACTAACTATGATGACATCGGCGGTCATTCGTGGCAGTGTTCGTGATTGTTGCAAAGTTGATGGTAGCATTGATAAACTGCGTCGGATGCAGCAGCTGATTCGCGTTCAAACTTCGACTTTCGTCCATATATAGCAAACATAACGCGAGCGGAAGCGTTCGCTTTAGAATTCAGCAAATTAGATTCAGCCCAATTTAGAATTAAAGGTTAACAAGCGAATTGCACTTTACCCTTTCAGGAGATCTGTCAGAACCCAAAGTTCATAACAAAGAGCGCCACAAGATTTGATATCAAGCAAGGTCAACTGGGTAAGTGTTGGTGACCTTCATTGTAGCTGAATAGCGATCATATCGGTAAATGCTTGACTTGCATGGCTGCTATCTGACACTGGGGGATGCTACACCGCAGGCTGTAAGTAGGCCAGTAGTTGTAGTCGGCGCAATAGCATATATATACGCGTTACGTTACGCGGATATGACAACGCGAGCGTTGAAGAAAAGACGACGACTCTATTATGTAGCGCTGCGAGGTATCCTTGGAAGCGATATAATATCCGACGTTACGTTAGGGCTGCGTTATATGCCCTACGGCTACTTGTCAGCACTGTGTTGTATAGTGTATCCGACTATTAGCGTAGTCTGCAAATGCATACTATTTTCACGTGGTGTTGATATACGGGGTGCGTGGCGCACTGACAGAGCTCTATTTACAATACAAGCAGTCTGTAACAGAAGTAAGACAACGCGCTATGATCTGCGCTATTCACAACCCGTTCCATTACCCGACTATTATAGGCAACTGGAATTAAAACTACGACTACTTTAGATACAACCATTTTTCCATGTGAAGAAATATTATAGAAATGCATAGACAGTTGATGTCGCATGGTCATAACCGTTCTATTATCAGCTTTATAAATTTACGATAACCTGATTTGAGTTTATTTAAGCTACGATGTCCATTATAACAACGGAATATGCGATACGTTCGTATGTGTGTTTTTTATGAAAGTTTTAATTGGTTCTCCCCGTAACGAAAATCGCGATGTGAAATATTGCTGTGTAACCCTCTTCGCGGGTTATATAAACAGGTTTATTCGTTGGAGTGCCTCTGGGGTAGTTATTATATCATGGGATAACCCACCCCCGCGCCTACTTCTCTATAATAGCTAGAACTACCTTTCTTGTTCAGTGGCACTACAGTAACTATAACAGCACTACGCGTAATTCCGCAATAGCCCACCCATGCGGCTAACTATTCACGCTAGACAGCCCTAATACCCTGCGTGATGTTTGCAATGGGAAGTGTAAACGCGTCTTTACCGGGCGGGGGTAGGGGCTAGATTGTCAGGTGCGCGTAGTCCAGCTGAATGTATGTGATGATGTTGATGCATGTCAGTACCCGACATGGTGAGCCCATTACATACGCGATATTTAAATTGATTAGTGCTATTATAACAAATAATAAAAGTTAAGCCATTACGACTAAAAATGTATCTAATAACAGCCCTATGGCACCTACATCACTCATGTCCTTTGAAGTATATATAGTATTATATGCTGTCGTTGCTAGGTGACTGTTGGCTGTTGACGGCAGTGTCATGTCTCACCATTACTCCGCGACTGTTTCGCAACGTGGTGCCTCCGAACCAGTTCTTCCATAGAAACTATGCAGGTAAACCATGGAAAATATGATATCAAATATACATGCATTTTTATATAGAGAGAAACAGTGGCAGCAATCCGCGAGAGAAAGAAAGAAAGAGATAGCGAGCGAGAGAGTGCGCGCCCGCGCGTGTGTGTGTGAGAGGGAGGGAGAGAGAGGAATTATGTGAGAGCGCGAGAGTGAAGTAGGGGCGCGGGAGAAAGACAAACAGATAAAAGATATGAAAGATAGAGAAATGGACACGGAGAGGAAGGAATGGGTGCGTGAAACAGTAGAGAGGAGGAGAAGGAAAGCACACACTCATATACGGTATTATTAGATCATAAATCATATACGCCCTGAGTTCTAAATGATGTCATCAATTTGATAGACACACAGTTACTCTCACCACGATAAGTGTTTCTAAGATATATTTCAGCTTCGTGTGCAGCGAACTTAACTCGTTCTTCTCTCTTCCGGCCCAGGATGTCGTTGGACGACTTCTACCGATTCTTCACCCACCTTGACATACTGTACCACACGCCGGAGGCATGGTACAAGGAGCCAAGCCTTCAGGGCAAGCGCCGCTGGCAGGCAGCGATGGCGCACAGGCAGTGGGTGCGCGGCTTCAACGCCGGGGGCAGTAACAACTTTCCAGGTAAAATAACTACTTAGTAGAGTGTAACTTTAGCACTAAAGATCAATCCAATAACAAAAACAAAAACAGCAGCAACATCATCAACAACAAGCACAGCAGCATCAGCAACAAAAACAACATCAACAATATCAACTTCTTAGGTAAAGTAATTGGTTCACAGTGCGTAGATTTCTCTACAAGCGTCTGTTCACTGAAAATGTCCAACGTATTCCAATTTCCAAGCGATTATTTCGCAGTCGTACCTAACTAGTGCTAAGGTTCACCGGCGGGGTGGGCCGCCGGGAACCAAAAACGAGCTGCAAAAGATTCGGGGGTGGGGGCACGTGTGTTCTGCCTGCGTGGTAGAAGTCAGCACATTTTAGGGGTTCAGATGAAAATGATTCAGCGTCTAAGGAGCACTTAATCTGATAAAGCATTAAGTAGATAGGGAGTGTTGAATTGGTCACGAATTACTGCTTCACGTTATTCGTCACTCGTTTGCTGGTATTGGTGCCAGCACGGGGCGGTAGGGGGCATGGCCATGGTGGGCATCTAGATCCACATGTGAACATACGCTGTGAATCCGTGATGCAGCTCTATCTCGTGCCGAGTACAATGAGAAAACCGCGAGCGATACATTGACATCAGCTTAACTAATACACGTTTGTCCTAACTAGAGTTACAACGTTACCGTAAATAGTACTAGTATGTAGGTCCAGCTATGGTGGGAGAACCACGGTACTATAATCAATAAGAGTAGAAGTAGTAGCTCGTACAGATCTGAAGACAACGCGAACTCCGGTGCTAAAACTAACAGGCTTGTGTCTTAATGTAGATCTGATGCCCTACAATCCACAATTTCACCTGTACATACAGCGTGAGGATGTGACCCAGAGCACGTGTAACGTGGTCGTGTCCGTCATGCAGCACGACCGCAACCCGAGCCTCCTTCACGCCATCGGCTTCTACGTCTACAGGGTGAGAGAATAACACGCGATGTCATCGTCTAGTTAACACTGCATCGGAGCAAGTTACAATACATACACACGCACACACACACACACACACACACACACCACCACACACACACACGCGGCCGCGCGCGCGCGCCAGCGCGACGCACAAACACACCCACACACATATATATATATATATATATATATATTATATATATATATTATATACTACAGCTATTGTAGAGCAATGTAGTAGAGAAATTTAAATTCATTATGGCTATAGGCCTTAAGAGGTATAAATCTGTTGTTAATTGTTAGGATTATTTTTATTAAACATAGATTGTCCATTCTTTATCCTCTATTTTTGCCTCAGTATTATGAGTTCTTGTTGTGCGTATCTAGTCGATCTAAGTTGGTATGCATGACGCTGCACACGACTGTAGATGGCAGCACTGTATAAGATAAGAGTGCGCGCGCATTCATTTATCGATATATTTCTCTGCTTTAGGAGATTTCAGGCTGCAAACATGTTGTTAGCTTAGTGCAGTGCCAAAAACACACACAACTGCAAACATTAATGGATGATGATCAAAAATATATAATCTACCTACCAACCTACCCACGGTGCTACACCGAACATGCATGTACGCAACCTAACAGCAGCGCGCTATCTGTGTGTAACCCGTAATCATAACATGCATGTACATGACCGTAATGGCAGGGGTATTCGTGGCTGTAACACGTAAGCGTAACATGCATGCCTACGCAACGGTAAACGGCATCGGAGTCGGTTGTAATGTAACCGTAACATATGCATTATGACGCCAATCGTCACCGCACGGTAGAGTTATCGTGTATAACCGTAACCGGACATTCATGTACGCAACCGTAACCAGTAGCGTAGGTGTGTGTGTGTGTGTGTGTGTGTGTGTGTGTGCTGTGTGTGGTGTGGTGCTGTTTTGGTGTGTGTGTGTGTGCATGTGTGCGTGTTGTTGCGCGCGCGTGTGTGTGCGATGTGTGTGTGTGTGTCGTGTGTGGCTGTGTGTGGTTGTGTGTCTGTGTGTGTGTGTGTCGTGTGTGTGTTCCCGTGGCTGCGCGCGCTGCGTCTGCGTGTCGTACGGTGGTGTGTAACCGTAACCGCAGCGTAACTCATATGCGGGCTTAAACCTGGTTTTAGCACGTAACCCTGGCACCCTCCGCACACCGCGAAGCGCAAGAGTGTCGGTTGATGGTTTTCGACCGGGAATAACCGATCCCTGATCCACCTGTGTAGACGAAGGTCGGTGTGTTCCCTCTGAAACCCCTGCGTCAAAGTCCGTAGGATTCCCCTGTGGCAGTTGCCG